TGTGTGTGTGTGTGTGTGTGTGTGTGTGTGTGTGTGTGTGTGTGTGTGTGTGTGGCTTGCTCTCCCCTGGTAGGGAAGAGAAGGGAGCCTCCTTGGCACACACAAAAAAGCCCCCTCCCACCCTTTTCTCTCGCTCGCATGTCAGGAAACGCTCCCCTCCGTCAAAAGGCGAGAGGGGAGGGGTCGTGGGCCGAAGGGGGTGCCTCCAATTGGCTTGGGCACCCGTGACAGGCAGCTGGAGCCCCCTCCCCAACCCCCTTTTCCCTTCCTTCCTCCCCTCCCTCCCTCCCACCCACCCACCGGCTCTCGGGGATGCGATCAAATGTGGAGAAAGTCCATTAAGCAGAGCTGGCGCAAAACAGCAGGACGCTGGCCAGCTTCAGCTGGCGGGCAGCTTCCCACGCAGGATGGCCGGATCCCCCGGGGAAGTCGCCACCGTCGCCGCCGTTGCCACCCCGGCTGTCCTCCTGGCAGCGTTGGCCACCTGCCTCTCGGCCACCACCAGCGAAGGTAGGGAGCCAAGGTGTGGGGGGGGGGGAGAGGAGGAGGAGGGGGACGCGAGCAGCGTTGCGGGGGGGGGACACACACGCAATCTGGCGCAGCAGCCTCTGCCAGCTGACTTGGGCATCCCGAGCTGGCAGGGTTCCCTTGGAAACCTGAATTTGGGGGGCCCTGCCAAGGAGAAGGCACAGCCGTGGGCATCCTCTGAGCATCCTCTGAGCATCCCCCCCCCTCCTCGGTCTCTCGTGGACCCTCCGTTGTACCTCGACTTTCCCCCTTCCAACACAAGCACCGGGATGCCGGGCTGGAAGGGACCTTGGAGGTCTTCTAGTCCAGCCCGGCTGCCCCTGCTGGAGACCCCAGACCCTTCCCCACAAAGGGCAGGGGAAGAAGGGGGGGGTTAGATCCAGAGCGGGGTTGCTGTATCGCCCGGACTCCTGCCCCGGTTTTGGTCTCAGGACCCGCGATCAAACGGACTCTCCGAATCCCTAGCGGCCTTTTCTGTGCCATGACCTCCTCTGCCCTTTGCCCCCTCCTCTCACCCCCCCAGGACCCCCTTTGCACTCTTCAGGCGATGCCCCCAATTTGCACACATTTGCTTGTGGCTTGTGTGTTTGTGTGTGTGTGTGTGTGTCTGCTTCGGCCCCCTTTTACCATTGCAATCTGTCCTTGTACGGCTCTCTTCTCTTCATTCCTATTCTGTTCTGTTCTGTTTTATTCTATTATTTTATTCTATTCTATTCTACTTTATTATTTTGTTTTATTCTGTTATTATCTCTTCCCTTCCCTTCTCTCCAACCCTTTCTCTCGACCTCACACCTTCTCACCCCTCTTTCCCCCCCCCCGTCTTCCCACCCATCGTACCCCAGTAACTTTCCTCTGAGCAGTTCCAAGGAGGGACATCCTGGTGTCCCATTTTTATGTCCAGGGAAGAAGTCACACTGAGCCAGTGAAAGAGCAAAAGAGAGAGAGAAGGGGAGAGAAAATGAGAGAGAGAGAGAGAGAGA